TGAAAGTTATTCACGGGTAAGTTAATATCTCGGGAACCTCGGAGTCTAGGAGGCTGGAATTTAAGACTAATGACCCCCTGCCCACGCTCAATCTTGACCATTCGAATTCAGCGTTCTCGCGCTCTCGGTTACCACCTACTACGGCATCGTGAAAATTTTGGCGGGTGAACTATTAACTCGGGGATCACGGAAAGATATTCATCCTTCAAGGTTTCGAATTCAGCCTTCATACGCTGGTGCGTGAAATTTTTAACTGTTTTCCAATGTTTGAACTATTTTTGCGTAGACTAAAGTACAAAGCAGTGAAAATCAGGCAATCGTTCGATGGGCTGAATTGCACAAAACGCATGATCACACCGGCTAGTCTGGTGCGCGTTAGCAATCGTTCGATGGGCTGAATTGCACAAAACGCATGATCGCACCGGCTAGTCTGGTGTGCGTTGCTATTTATTATGTTCGATGGGCTGAATTGCACAAAACGCATGATCGCACCGGCTAGTCTGGTGCGCGTTGCCATTTATATTTTTTTTCTACTGGCTTCGCTCCTGAAGTAGGTTATGGTGTAAAGTCGTCACAGCGACCACAGCAATTTTTTTTATTAACTACTTTGCTTTCCATTCCAAAATGTAAAATTTGCAGCAAATTCACAAACCAACGAAAAAACTCCCGCCACCAAGTGACGAAAGAGACTCCGGGTGTTCTCACCGGCTAACGAAATAGCCTGAATGTATTATTTGGACAACTTATCTGGAATTCGATGGCATCATCCCGAGAGTAATATTCGTGGCAAAATTCCAACGGTCACCTCCTAGCAAAAGGATCTGAATTCATTGCAATTGGTTCGCAACATTTTCGGAAGTCGGCGGCAAGGCAGACTCAACACCAACCGAAAGGGTTTCGAAATGTCCTCACCGCATAATGGAAGAGCCTGTTGCAATTGGCTCATGGCTTTTTCGGAAGTCGGTGGCACCTTGTCGAGTAGTTGCGACCAATAATTTTGGGCAATTTCTTGCTTGTATTTCATGATTTGGATTATACATGATTTTTTTTTTTGCGTTTTTGGGGCCTGCATAATTGATTCCGATGTATAGTTTTGCATGTAATTCAGGAAAAAAAGCCGAATAGTATTTTCCCGCTGTTTCCTTCGTGCTGCTACTTGGGCTGCTTGTGCGTGTGTCCGTTCTTCATAGCGAATGATTTTGCAAGAGATGCTTGGTTCATCGCTTTTTCGGAATTCGGTGGCATCTTCTTGAGTGGTCGGTATATTTAGTACTAAATTATTCTGTGAGATATAGTTGACCTGAATTATAAAAGTTTCTCCGCTGCGGGCATGTCTGGTTGGGTTGCGTGGTGCCCTACAGCAACAACAAAACGGACTTTATTTAATAAAAATAAGACAAGCAAGCAGTGAGGGACATCATCAGGCACAACAAAAACATCCGATAGCAGCAGCAGAGTGCTGCCACTGCTTGAAGTGAATGCCGAATTGGAATTTGCGGAGGCAATGCTCTAAAATTTCAGCTTCCTAACTTTTTTGGTTCCCGAGTTGAAAGTGCTGCGGACAGATTGCTGCGGACACAGACACACACACACACACACACACACACACACAAACACACACAGACAACCCCGTGACAATATGCATTTTGCACTGCTGTTACACAACACAAAACGCATAACTAGCAGTGAGAAAAATGCTCTGTACGGCAACAGACGCATTGGGATGTCGAACAACACGAGATAAATGGAAACTACCAAAACTGCTACGTCTACTGGGAAGAGAGTTGCAATGGCGCTGATGGCTATAGGACAGATCGCTGGAGGCGAGGGGAGGGGTGAGGGTCGACGGTGGTGATTTAATTTTTGGGGACCGTAACTAGACGGGCAACCCGGTACAATAATTTTTGCAACTCAAGCTCGAACACGCAAGAAAGACGGAATCCCGATTCGAAAGATTTATGAGGGAAAAGGGAACAGGATTTAAGACAGAAGTCCCTCTGTAGGTTTTTCATGCTTAGCCTGAAAAACTTGATGCTG